ACTATTCACTGGTTTCAAAGGTACAATGCGTCCTTTCCTCTCTTTTTACTTTGTTACAGAATACAGTGGGATATGCATCACAAATTTTATCCAACTATAAAATGTTAATGGGGAAACCAGGAGGGAGCAACGCCATCTTCTGATCTGAGAAAGTATCACGCCAGAAGAATAATTTTGCATTTTTAAGGTAATTGAGAAAACCAGTGAGACAGAGAAAAAGCTAAGACCGAGAATTTGAACGACTGGCGTACAACTGATCTAAACGCATTAAATAAATAATAATAAAACACATGAGTTACTGTATTGAAATACTGAAATAGGGTACTGAAAAAATAAATCAAAACTAGTATAAGACAACATGGTACAATTAAAGAAACATTTATCTTGACATGATATTGACACTGTATTGTATAACGGGGGGTTTAAAATATAATTATGGTGTCAAAATGTGTAGTGAGGATTGCATTTTCTTGAATATTCCTTGGTATTGGAATATTGGTTTGAAATTTTAGTAACTTGACAGTGCTAAAATGTATGACGCACACCACTGTGTGATAAATATTTATTTATCTATAAACATGTTTTGATCTGATATCATACTGATCAACATCTACACAATGAAATCAAGAAAACAAAATAAATGATTTGATGGATAAATATTGACAAATTGGGATAAGATTTGACCACACTTTTTTGGAAGACAAACTGTAACATACAAATGGATTTAGAGATGTATTTTAGTACGGTACTTGTGTTCCTGAATTCAATCTAAGTGTGACACATTGATACACAGAAAGAACAGAAACCTGGCCTGTAATTCAAATCTGTCATCACCACAGCGACTTGTTTGCTAAATAAAACCTGCTTTAACATTAAGATCTGTACAACCGCTGCCACATCTGCTCTGCATTCCCTGTGGAGCAGTGGGTAAGAGGAAAAAAAACACTGTAATAGTAGAAGCAGAGGTTTAAAATGAAAGTGAAAGGTGGTGGTGGGTTAGCATTAGATTCACCAGTGAGTGCCTAGAGCGAGTTGTGCCCACTCAAATATTCACAGCAGATCACCACTTTCAACACAACTCACAGCAACTGGGGCTGATCTGACTGCACTGGATTAAAGTTATGGGTTAATGTTATGGATTAAGGGCACTTTTAAACACTTTGAATTAGGACTGTATTTGACTAAAGAAATCCTTGGTCAACTGAAGACATGTTCTGCCGATCAATTCTTTTACTAAAAAGGAGGCATGGCAAAAGCACTCAAAACTGTAACGTAACTCTGTATCTGGTGCAAACTGCACGGGACTACACCTGCACCGGGGCTCATATAAAAACTTCTATTTAAACTGAAGTAATAGGAAAAACATTTTTATATAAACACAGATTATGCACATTTGTGAATCATTAGTTTAATCTGTCTTTTTCCATAAAAATCCCAAATAATACCAAATCTTCGGCTAACTCACTCACTTCTTCTTTTTGTCGGTGTGCCATATAAATTCTAAATATATAAACAAAATCTAAAAAAAAGATAAATCGACAAATCTTGATCGACTAAGACCCCATCAATCGATTATTAGACTAAACACCTGGAGCCTCAAATACTTATTGTTAAGATTATTCAGTTAAAGCTGCACTATGTAACCTTTGGGTTGGTGTTCCGTCACCATCCTGTTTCTATGGATATGTCATTGGTCTGCTTCAAATGTTCCAAATATGGCATTAAAAAGCTCTACCTTGCATTTTTTCAATTACAGGTGGTTTTATTGTCCAAAAATACTGAGAAAAACAGGCATTCTGACTGTGTCTCTCCACAGATCTGACTTGCCTGGTTTGGTCTCCATGATGACAGAAAGGTTTAATGCCATACTGTGAAACATTCCAGATGAAGCAATGACATCTCCATGGAGAATTTGATGAACCCTCCACCAGAAAAGTTACACAATGCATCTTTAACCATTTCAGAATTATATATATATATATTTTTGTATTATTTAAACATGTTTAAACATTGTAATCTACCAATGGTAATGCTGTAATATAATTTTGTATATTGAGCCACATTTGACCAGTCAAACAGGGATTTGGATTTGTAATGGTTTGTAATTAATCTCTCAGCCACATAGCACATTATATCCAATTGTTAGATTGTGGTACATATTTGTTCCCAGTGTTAGTTCCCACCACACAATTCTACAAGAGGTTTAATAAAGGATTAATGATTATGCAAAACAGCATGTAATTGTTTTCAATGAGGTACTGTACTTTGAGTTCTGCTGTACAAGGTTTCATTTTCACTTTAACCTTTGAAAAAAAAAAAAAAAATTAACTCTTTTAGTCAATGTTCACTGCCTAGTCTTAATTTTGTGAATTAACATTATAATATTATTTTTAACCTGGTTTAAATGTTTTGTCCTGAACTTTTTTTCTTGATGGTAGCCCTGGTTAAGTTAGCTAATTTAGTCCCGGTTTTAGTCCCGATTTGGTCCCGGTTTAGTCCATGGTTTAGTCCATGGTTTGGTTCGTGGTTTGGTCCCTGGTTTGGTCCCTTTTTTAGTCTAGCCTCATTTAAACCCAGGAAAACAAAGAAAGTCCAAATTATAACAACAAAGTAGTCCATATAAACAGTGGAAGTGCTGGTTTAGCCCATTAAGGGTTAAGGGAGAGTCTTTAGAGCAGCACTCTATGGACTCCAGATCATTGGGCTGGAGGGAACATTTTAGGCACTTAACGTTTGAAGTGCAGAACCAAACTGCTCCCTGGATTACTCCTGTATTTTATGGACTGGGTGTAAAAGCATTTAACTCATTCCTATGGGCTCTATGTTATCTGTAGTAAATAGAATCAGCCACAGAGCCCTAACACCCAAATTAACATCCTAGAAGGCTGGAAAACACAATAAGACACATAAAAAAGGAAAAATACAATAAGACAATTAGAGGTGGGTGATATTGACAAATGAGGCTTAAGAGTTTGTGTGAAATGACTAGAGATGCACCGGTCCAGCTTTTTCATTTCCGATACCAATTCCGATACTATGGCTTCAAGTATCTACCAATACCTGATATCAACCAATACTAGTGTAGAGACTAAAAACAGACTTTATTTTCCTAAAAACAAAAAATGATAAAATGTGTTCAGTAACTATAGTAGTAGCTGCTATACATCTCTCAAATAACTACAGAGCAGCTTTATATAAAACTCAAACATTATGAGACTTTCAAGACAAACTTCGACCAGCAAATAGTCTTATTACATCAATTTGGGGTGTCTGTGTAATCCCTCAAGTAGGACTTTTTAATTTTGCTACCAATTTATAGGCCCAATATCGACCAGAATATCGACAGAACTGATATTTTGAAGCCCAGATCCAAATGAGCAAATTTTCAAGAATTGAAGCCAATATTTGATACCAGTATCAATAACTATGACTCCCTAGAAATTACCCACAAAAGTACATAAATATCATTGCATTGTTATTCTTTTTCTATTCAATTTTCAATTTAAACCACTCTTTTTTATTAATGCAGCTTTTTTATTAATGCTATACTCAATCTTCAAATAGTATCTTCATTCAACAAATTCATTATATTATCTAGTTTTCAATAATCTGCCCAGCTATAGTGCCAAATTTCAAGCAAAAAATTGTGAATCGGGTATTATTGCAATCAGACCAAAACACTGTCAAACAAATGATAATAATCACACAAGTTAGTCCCCATCAGAAAACATCAAAAACTACAGAGCTACCTACAAACTTTAATAACGCAGAGTTTACTTTCAATATTAGTAGAGGGCCCAGCATCTGAAATAACCTGGTTCCACATTGGCCCTAAAAATGGAAGTGACACGACCAAACAGACTGATAAAGAGGGCTTATGGAGAGCTGTGGGTCGATGAGAGAGCCTCTGTTTTCTAAAGTGGGAATCCAGCTACAGTCAACAAGTATACAAGCTCCAACACAACCAGAAACTGCACTGACGTGAGCTGACCAGGGATATACAGGATAAACCAGGACACCTAAAAATACACAACCTAAACGCTAATGGAACTCTAGGGGTTTTCTACATAGATGTGCGTCTATGAAACTAAGGTTGTGTAATTAATCAAGTGTTTATTGATTCAATTAATCAGAGAGGTCCACAGCCAATCCTCTGACAGAAAAGCATACGGTGTGGAGCAGAATTAGACTTTGGAGGAAGAAATTCAACTTTTTTGTGTTAAATGGAAATTATTATTAGCCTGATTCATCAGCCGGTTTCACTTCATAGAAACTGGCTGACCTCGCAGTGTTAGAATTCGTTTGCTCGATGGTAGGCAGGAACTTTTTTCATTTAACCAATAGTGTGATGTATGTAATGCACAATTAACGGGCCTAACTGGTATATTAAGCTTTTCCCAAATCCTGTGGCAAGAAGGGCAATAATGTCTTCTCCCTTCATAAAATTCACCAAACATTCTGTTTATTCCAGCTTTACATTGTCAGGAATCGCTGTCAACTCAGAATGTATGGCTCTTTGCTGATTGGCTGGTACCCGAACTCACACTTCCAGGGTTTTTCTGAACCATCTAGTGTGTTCTGATTCTTCACTTAGTCTCTGGAGAGAGGCACTAGGTGGCGCCAGCCTGGCTAAATTATTATGTCCAGAAAAGTAATATTGTGAGTCATGTTTAATTAGTTTTAACAATACAAAACAAAACTGTATCAAACACTGACATTGATCTATAGGAGGTATAGAAATTTTGACTTTTTGTCGTATCTCTCAGCCCTATATGAAACCCAAACTTAACCCAACCAAAGCACCATACCTTTAGCCTGAGTGCCCAAACTACTACGCTACCAATGCCCATGTGTAATGATCAAGAACATAAGTCTAATAAGAAATCTTGAAATGTTTGGTGTGAACTCAGGCAGTTTTACAAAATATGATCTAGTAATATAGCAAAAGATGATAATTTTTTAGAGCGTATCATGTATTTTGGTTTGTAGTGTAATCTTACCTGATGTTTGGCCCATGCGCATGACTGTGGACCTGCTCCTGCCACCTCTGCTGCTGGTGGCGCTGCTGTGCACAGAGCGTTGGGTTGAGGTGGGGCGGGTAGGTGCAGGCCGGGGCACAGCAGGGGCAGTTTGGGGCGTTACCAGCAGGGGGCAGAGTACAGGGCCCTGGGCTGGTTTTAAACAGAGGACAGTCTGGCTGACCACAGGGACAACGCAGCGTGGAGGGGTAGTGACACTGCTGGCAACATACACTTCTGTGCTGGATGGGCAAAGACTGTTGGCATTTGGTCAACTTTTGTGTCGAGATGTGTTTTAATGATCCATTCTGCTTCACAACGCTGCCATTTTGGTTTGGTTTGATCACTTTGTGGCCAACTGGAGGATTTTCTTGGCCCTTCTTGATGCTACTACTATCGTCATCATTGTCAGCTGTGATAGAGTCCCCGCTGGAGGCTGCAGTTAGAGGGTCTTGGCCATTGCAAACTGCTGTGCTAGATTTAGGAGACGAGTGCCCACTGCCACAGGAGCGAGAGTGGCGCCCCCCGTTGGTGAAGGCTGGAGGGTCAGCGCTGGCATCGTTCAGCGCCATTGTCCACTCCCAATTGGGTCAGGGCGAGGTCAGTCCTCTGGGGAAAACAAGAGGAACAGAGATAGATTAGATCATGTTAAAGGCGCACTGTGGAGTGTCTGTCACTGCTTGTCTCCATGGAGATATAACTGTTTTGTCTTGATTATTCCACAGTATGTAAATAAATCATAATGGAGGCAAATTAATGGGCAGATCTATGGAGAAGCAAGCCAGCACATGGTAAGAATACATACATTATATACAGTATACATTTTCCAAGGTATTTTTGAGCTATAAAATACCTGTAATTCACCTTAGAAGTTGCATAGTGTACTTTTAAATTAAAGTCTTAACATAACACTCAACTGATGACATAAAATGAGGGCGGTCAGCAGTGGATTTTTTTCAGCATCTAATATTTGCCTTGTTATTCTGGTGGATAACTGAGTTTTGCCAATATCACTATTATATAATTGATGGCAAGGCCCACAAAGTGAAGCCAAATACACAAAATTAACTTTTCCTTTTTTACATTAAATTAAAACAAAATAGATTGATTTGCGGTATGTTTCATGATGATTGGGCAAACATACAACCACCCCTTAAGCGTCACTGCTCTATTATTTCCGAAACAATATCAGCTCTATATAAGGAACTTGGACTGGTTCCATCTCAAACAGAAATCTTTTTTGTAAGATTCCCTTCCTGGTACCACTTATTTTATACAAATTAGACCAGTAAAACAACACTGCACAGGAAATACACAACATTTTCAGATGTATACAGTAAGGTTTTACACAATTTACACAGTGCACTTAATGGAAACAAAAGTGGAATGTTGTGCTTCAGTTATCAGCTCAGAAGATACATGAAAATAGGGTAATGGAGAGATAAGAGAAAGCACGCTGAAATGGTCAGCTGTTGCTCAACTGACCCCCAACTCCCACAAAAGGAGCTGCATCTGTTTTTTATCTGACATCCTTCACAAATCAACAAAGACTTCATCTACAAGTCCAACACTGCTGTTTGAAATGAGTAAAAAAAAAATCATAAAAGAATTATTTTTATTTTTCAAAAGGAGGAAGAATTATAGCTATGGGAGACAGGGCTCTTTGATAACTGAACAGAGCAATTTCAAACTGTGGAATCAAAATATAATGTGGAGCAGAAGGCTTTTGTAAATCAGCAAAGAAAAAGAAAGGTCTGGCAGGTCAACAATTGTGAACGAAGCGTGGCTGTACTCAGAGGTATATTTTGTCACCTTTTTGATGGAGGGTCCCCCACTTGCATGTCTCCATGGAGATTATATTGCTTTGGCTGGAATGTCCCATAGTATGGCACTAAACTTATCTTACATTTATTTAATTAGTCATAGTAGTTTATCTTCTTCAGTCATGTACTTAATCATGTACTTAATAGTGTGTTACAAACATTTCACATAAAACTATGACCGAAGGGGTTTAGGCTGAAGTGAAATCACTTAGGAATGCCAAGTGGTGTTATTGCTAAAAATAATATGAAAAACATTCTTACTCTAACCGGTAATTTGGCTATGCTACAAAAGCATACAAGTTTAAAGCCTCACTATGGAAAATTAAAGACAATACCATCTCATAAAAGACAGGAAAGTGACAGAGCCATTAGAAAAGTTACACAGAGTACCTTTAAATATAAAATATATTAATAAAATGCGCTGTTAAAAATATGTTTAATTGTCAAAACGCAATTGAAAGTTTGCATTCTACTAATTTCAAAACCCTCTTCAAGCTAGACAGAAGTCTAGACCTGTCACAATAACACGATATATTGCTCCACAGAAATATGGCGATAAATGATAATATTGAAACTACTTTATGTCACTGACACAAAGCAGGATAATCCCAGTAAATTAATTTTTAAATAGACAGTATCATTAAAAGACCTGAGTTGCAACAAACAAATAGTAGAATGAACAAATTATCCATAGCAGTTATTTATTATTCTACTCTCTACAGCTCAAATCCTATTATTGTATGCATGGTAAATATTAAGCCCCAATATATATTGTTTCAGCTTTCATATACTGAATGATAAGTCGATACAGTAATTTTAGTGACAGACGTAATTCTGTCTGACATCGTACATTTCAAAAAAGGACAGAGAAATTAAGAATTCCTTCCATTATGAAAATTGGACATTAAGGCTGGGTATCATTAAGAAGTTACCGATACGATACATACCTTGATATATAGGCCAAGGTACAATATGGTTTTCGATACAGTGCACTTTCGATTAAATACAATTTGATACAATATATTTCAAAAATGATTCGATATGGTTCAGTAAAAAGCAAAGCTTAAATCATGGCTGATACTAAAAAACTTTATTAAACTACTAAGTTCATATGAAAAATTTACTTAAAACAGTGAATATGTCAAGTGTATTGCATAAACAAGTGAACTTTCTCCAAATGAGCCACACAACTCTAGCTTTTTCACAAAATAATTTAGTAAAATATATTTAAAAAATGCTCTTGGTGATATATCGATACAGCAACCCATGATACCAATACCGTATCATGAAATTAAACAATACAATATATTGATATTTCAATATTTTTGCACACCCCTTTTGGACAACATTGTGGGAGACAGCATTGCAACTATGCGTTCAGCAAATTCAATCTATGAAAACAACACAAATTTGCTTAGAAATCCCAGAAACCCCTATGCTTATGTACACTTGGCACCTTCTGGACTTCTAAAGCTTTAAAGGGCACATAGTACATTATTTTCTAATCTGTTATAATGGTGTTTCCTAATCAAAAACAGACCTGGAGTTGTGTTTTGTTTCATTCACACATGTTTAACACACAGACCCTACATATTGGGGCTGAGTTCTTCTCTCAAATGGAGAACCCTCTGTTCCACCTTGTGATGTCATGTGGTAACACAAGAAGTGCTTTTAAACTCCATATATTTTCACTAGAAACATTTGGATGATTTCTGACCTGAAATTGCCGATTTCTACTGCACAATATATAGCAGATAGTGGTTAACTTGAAAACAACCACTACATGACATCACAAGGTAGAACAGAGCATTTTGAGCTTTGGAGATGTAGACAGATTAATAATAAAGGGTTGCTCAAAAGTGTGAATGAAACAAAACAAAACTCCAGGTATGTTTTTGAGGATTTAACATTATAACATGGCTTAAACCTTACAAGAGTAAATTTTGCGTAATATAAGACCTTTAAATCTGAAACTTGATTTGGCCTCTGAACTTGGACAGGGGAGGTTATGATTTAATGCTCACAGACTCGATGCCAACAGTGACTTTTGCAGAAACACAAATGTTATCTTGGAGAAAACAAGCATGTGAAAGTCCAACGTTTGAAGTTCGACAGCGAAGAGAGCTCCTAATTACTGCCTCTTTGAAACATTTGGCCAGCTGCATGCGGCTTTATGGTCATGACGATTACTCCAAATGGATGAGTTAGAGACTACAAAACACAAAGAGTAGTCTAGTGTCCCGACAGGTCCCAACAAAGAAAACAGAAGGTTCAGATTATAATAGTTACAGCCCCTATGTCTGTGACTTGGGTTACAGAATACATTATAAAGTGTAGACGGTTATAAGGGATATAAAGGAGTAACTAAAGGGACTGAAATGCATTTTTGATTTGGAGATAGGAGTAGGTGATCTTGACATAATTAATAATGCACTATAAATGTGGTAAATTATACTGACATTGTTCTCAGTCAAGTTAAAGTATGTTCCATGTTTGACAGATTACACTACAAGTTCCAGCTCATTTTGCAGCCTTTTTTCAAATAGCTTTTGTTATGGTATTCAATATTCTAAAAGGTGCTTATCTATAAAATAACTATATTACATAATAATATACAATTATTATTATTATTATCATTTTTATTATATATCCCTCACCTCTATTTGCAAGTAAAGTCCCCACCATGTTGGGTTAAAGAGTAAAACCAAAATAAAGTAGCTCATTCTGCTTTCATACTGGATAATCATAGCCATGAAGTGGATGATTTGGTAATTAAATCAAACACTGCACAGGTTGTCAATAAGAGCTAAGCCTGCCTGACACAATAACACATTCTGAAGTAATTATAGATGATAAATGATAATATTTATACTAAATTAAATGATACTGACACAATAACCCAAGAGCAGATTTAAACCACAAAAACTAAACCTACAATATTGTTAAAAAAAAAAATCAGAGCTTCAATAAATAAACAGCAGAATGACACACTTTAGTAGCTAGTTTGCATCTATAATGAGTCATCAATATTATTATGTGATGAAAAAATACCTACACATTTCCCAATTGTGCAAATAAAATGTACACAATAAATACTGATTCTCCAAAAATATTATTTCAGCTTTCATATATTGAATGATAAGATATAATAATTATCGTGACAGGCCTAGTAAAAGCAATATTAGTTCTGGACATGCTTACCTTGTATCTGGGGAGACAGAGGTCAAATTGAAATTTTAAATAAACACTCTACATATCTTCAATTTAAAAAACTAATACAACTGAAGTACATGTTAACGCCATTTTAATTGTGTCTTGGAGTAAATCTGACTTGCATGTTTTCAGTGGCAGGATGGAGAAAAACCCCAAATGGGCCACCACAAATAATTACAACAACTGTGCAGCACGTGTGAGCCACAGAGCCAGGATAAAAGACTTAAAGACTGGAGCTCATTTTCAACATTAACTCAGGAAATAGGCTGTCAAATCTTTATCAAGTTACTAAGCATAGCATTGACGTAGTAATAGACAAAAAGTAAGGTAAAATGAAAACGAATGAACTATGTGTATTTTGAAAGAATACTGAAATATTACTAAAGGTGAGGAGTGATGAGAGTCAAACACTACATGATAAAGGCTTCAAAGCACTGACAAGTACAAGCTTGTGTATGCAGTACTGAGTGGAGTACGCGGACTTCAGCCAAAACTGCATCCACAGCTACTACTTATGGAGAGGACTTTTCAAATGCTTTCTATAAATGTCCCAGTTCAGTTGAGCACAATAATTCATGACAGAGCACGCAGTTACAGGATGCCCCAGTACTAATATTGGTATCGAATATTGGTGCAGATCCATGACAATTTGCTGTATCGTGTATCAACATGGTTCTGCTTGAAATATCTTCTCTACTTTGAATTTCTTACGAGATCAATACAGTTTGTTTGTTGTAGCTCCAGAAAGTGTCAAAGTTTTAACTTTTATTTACACTAAGTTGTTCTGTAGTTACTTAGTTACTGTAGGGAGAAATAACAGCTACATAACACATTTAGTAACACATGGACAAAAAAGAAAAAGTCAATTTTCAGTCCCTGCACTGGTATCAGCCAGTAGCGGCAGATATTTATCGAAATCAGCAGATACTTATTGAAATAGCATCGAAATCGGAAGCTGGATCTGTGCACCCATACACACTCCTCTTGACCTCCGTCTGTGTCTAGGCTCAGGAAATAAAATTTTACAAGGATTAAACCATCAGATGAAAGAATACAGTTCCGTATGTTTAATTATTAATTGAATTATCAATTGCAGTATTAATAATTCATTGCCCAGTTAATAATACAGTATTTGAAAAGTTTGAGCAGTCTCATCACTTTCTGTCTTTTTTCTGTTCATTGCACCTCAACCCCAGAGGCACTGAAGCTTGAGCAATACAGCCCGAGTTTGAGAAGAGAAGAGATAACTGAAAAATCCCACATGAAAAGTTTTGTGGTCCCATAGCTGTTAGGAGCCTGCAGTAACTTATCCGGGGAAAAGGTGCTGAACTAGTATGACCATTTATAATCACAAACAAATGGATACACTGCAAAAAGCAATATCTAGGTTAAAATGACCTGAGAACATTTTCCTTTATTTGAGCAGGTTCAGCTTGGCAAGTAAAATTATCTACCAGTGCAATAAGTGTGTTTTTCTTCATTCAAGCAACATTCGATTTTGTGCAAAAAGTTGTGTGTTGTGTAGCAAGATATACTTTCATATTTTAAGTACAAAAAGTCTTGTCCCACTGGCAAATAATTTTAATTGTCAAAGTCAAATTTGCTCAAATCATGATAAAATTCAAGTAATTTTAACCTAGCTAGATTATAGTTTTTGCAGTGTAGATAGTTCAAGATAAACAAACAGGTTAACAGTGTCAACAAAGTCAGTGAGCTGTTGAGCTGTCCAGTGTAAAAGTATAAGACTTCTGCTGAAGGAATTTAGTTCAGGCTGTGTGTGCTGACGAGCAGGTGAGACACTGAGACATACATGTATACAGTCTGGATCCAGGAGGCAAAGCAATATTACACGTATTACATTACTAATTGAAGTTTGGGAGGTTTTAAATATCACTTAATTTTCATATTTAGTCTCACAAGTTGTTAAGTTTACAATTGTTTTGCCATTTTTCACCCTGTCCGTTTAAGGCCATGGTCAAATGTTAAAGGTTCACTGTGTAACCTTTTTGGTGGAGGGTCCGTCATCTGTCTCATTGGTTTGTGTGGAATATTCCACAGGATGGTATTCAAAAATATATATTTATTCACTTACAGGTGTTTTTTTCCCTCTACAACATGTATTCTTACTGCAAGCGTGGTGATGTGGTCTGTTTGTTTCCATGGAGATAGCTAAATTAAATGCCATACTGTAAAACAAAAACAATAACATCTATACAGAGATGGCGAACCCTCTCCCTGAAAAGTTACATGGTGCACCTTGTGGGTTGCTTGTCACACGGGTTGACACTTCAGTATTTCTTTTGTAGAATACACTAAATCTCACAATATATTAGTCTCATTAATCCCCCATTAATTCTTCCATTTGAATGTTATTGCTCCAGGATGTGTTGAAATCTGCCCTGTGAACTAGGGGTGTCAAGAAATGTATGCCCACATACTAACAGATACTGTATCTATTAGAGCTTTAACCGATGTTACACTGTTGTTGCCCAAAGTTGTGTTTTGATTCATTTACACATGTTTGAGTAATCCTGGATTATTAGTCTGTCTACATCCCCAAAACTCAAAATGCTGTTTCATTTTGTGATGTCATGAAGCGATAGTTCAGGTACCTTTTACTTTTAGTTCAGTAGAGCTTGTCTTAAATTATCCACATGATTCTAGCGAGGGTGTGTGGAGTTTAAAGACACAGTGGAACACTTCCTGTACTACCGCATCACAAGGTGGAACAGAGTGTTTGAGAGAAGAACTACATCTACATCTGTAGGAATTGTATATTAAACATATGTGTATGAAAGAAAACACAACTCTAGGTATGTTTGTGATAAGAAAATAACACTGTAACATAGATCAGAAAATAGTGTAATACGGGCCCTTTAAACCATGCAGAGCCATCAGTTCTTCCCAGGCTCGGTGATGTGGAAAGGCAGGTGATGCGCTTTCATGTGTTCAGTGGATGATTATGGGGCTGTGAGAATCTCCAAGACCCGAGGCGACAGGCAACAACAAGGCAGAGTACCCAGTCTCCCTTTAATTAAAGCTAATCGGCCAAAATTACCAGCAATCAGTCAAGAGCCAGTGAATAATCACGCATTTTCTACTGATAAAAAAACAAAAAGTGTTGGCTTGACCTGAGTAGATACTGGGACACAGAGCTGCTGACATGTTTGTAGTTGTCAGGAGTGATTTGAGACATTTTTGACCTCCTCCTTGTGCTGCTCGGAATATTTTCAAAGTGTCCGGAGGCTATGGAGTTTAGTGGAAAAGGTAAATGGGGTGAATACAAGCTGTTGTCGTAATCATTCCATCAACTCAAAAGTGTCCGATCTGATGAGCTGGACGACAGGTGCTGAAGTGTGACGGAGGGGAACTAATAGCTTTTAACACTCAACTTGAGCTGGAGATGAAAAGTAATTATGATACAGGAGGAGTAAAGAAGTTGTGATAATATAGGTCTAAAGTAAATTTGTGATGTGAAAATAAAAATCAATAATAAAAAATTAATGCATAACTTTTTTGGCTTCAGTTTTCTTTTCAACACTAAAAACATGTGGGTCAGAAGACCTGGGCAATACAGCCAAAAAAACTGTCTGTTTTTTTTTTTTTTTGGAGCATACTGAACGACTACAATTTTAACTTAAGTCAAAGCAGAGACTCTTTACATTTACATTCTTATCAAATATTTTAGTTCAAGAAATTATGAACCACCTTAAATTATATCTGTATAGACAACTAATTTTAACTGCACAATAACCTTGATTTCACATTTGTTTCAAAATGATTAAAAACCCCAAATTTTGTTCATGTGATCAATTGCCATCCCTATGAGTCAGTTAAACCAAAGTGGTGACAGAGTTTTCAGAGGCTCAGGACAAACCCTCGATCTCACCAAGTACGGATAATAGAACGTGAAATATAAATATTAGGCACTTTAAAAAAAGACTGGTACCAAAGAAGCTCAAACTAAAAGGGTATCACAGAATTTTAAACTTAACGTATTAGTTTCTATGTATTCATATTTTGTAGTTAATGAAGCCTAGCTTTGTAACTTTCATTATACTTCATTCAGTCAATCAAATCATTCATTCAGAATTAAGAGATACAAATCACAAATCACACACGTATGTCTTTGGGCAGAGAACCTTCAGAGAACAAACAGACTGTACCAGTCTTTTTGGTCCAGTGCTCCTTTTGGAGTTTATGTACCTGCTGCAGTGAGGGTTATTTAATTTAAGTTATTTAAGTGTACTGTTTTATATAGCAAGAATATGGCAAGGGGACTAGTGCTGTGCCAAACCCACAATGTTGTCCACTAAAACTTCTTTCCTGGTTGGTATTACTTTACAACCACTGAATAATTGTGCTGGCTCAGGTGAAATAGGTAATAAAGTAACTTCGTACTGACCAGAGTACAAACAAACAAAAACTTATCCTAAGCAATAAAAACATCTAAATGTAAAGGAAATTTGTACAGAATCAATTTACAAATCATTTTCTGTAGTTTTAATAAAAGGTTTTTGCACCCTACAATAGTTCTTTGCGCCAAGATTACGATGACAGTTTAACATAAAATAAACACCTTTGTTGTTTAGAAATATACTGGCTTTCCCCACAACCCAAACTTCTGGATAGACTCAGTGACGCTTTACTACGTAGACCTAAGTACCCAAACTATATAAATAATTATCTTTCACTACAACTGACCACAACTGCGCACACAGCGGTTCCAAATCATGCAATGACCCTGATTACACCGCTGCCAAATACCGGGTTACGCCGCAAACTCGCTAAATGCGTAAAGTACACAATGCAACCGCCTGGTAGCAAGTTTGGATAGCTATCATACCGTGTTTTTGTTTCTCCCGGTGCCTCGCTATCGCCCGAGAGTCTCCCAACACGCGGCGATCGCTTTTTCAACCACAAAAAGCACTTCTCCGTGGACTGTGTGGAGTATTGGAAAAGAATAGATCCGTGAACGCTCCTAAACTACTTCGGTAAAGGCAGCAACAAGTCCGTGGAGCCGAGTGGGTAAGTTTCTCGTGGGAGTGTGTCCTGCCAGAATGACAAACGGCCCCACACTCGCTCGCTCCCTCTCTCCGTTCTTCAGGCTCCTCCAGCCCCGGATCTGCGCTCGCTCCACACCGACAGAAGCGAGGCGCAAAGGGGGCGGGGAGTGCGCGTTTTGGAGAGCGCAGATAGGACCGCGGAACTGTCCGTCAAACGCTACTGCAGAAATATAAGAGTATGTGCCAAGGTAACACCAATTAAAGTGAGTGAGGCTTAAATAATGAATGAAACTCTCTGTGATTCGAGTAATAAATGTAGCCCTGTAGTTGAAAATGATTTAGCCCAAGTATACTCCATCAGATAATGAAAGTTTCCCCCCCAAAATTGTAAAAAGAAAATATAGTCACATTCACTCAAAGCACTTCACATCAAGGAACCATTCACCCTTTCACACACATATTAATACACCAGTGTACTCAAACACTGTGGGCAAGATGGGTTTTTCCTGGGACCTCGAATTGCACGACCAACCTATGGGTCAATGGATCTCAACCAGTGAGGTTTACGTCGAGAGCGGGATTCGAACTGCTAACCTTCGGATCAGTGGTCAAACACTCGAGTGAGCTACTGACTGCCTGTATACTCTTATTTTAGATCTGATTTAGGCTTTGTTTGGATTAGAACAGTTTAATAGTCCCCCTGCTTTGGATCTGGTGGTACTCGGAAGATAAAATATTTTCTTGGTGGTACTTGTAAAAAGTTTCAGAACCACTGGTCTAGTTCTATATGAGTCATAATTTGTTTTGCTTTTACACTTAAGCTGTTCTAAATAGACCTACAATGTAATGAAAAAAATTAAAATGCAATCCTGGCTCAGACAGACATAGGAATTTGCCATTACAATTCCACAAAATGTCAAAGTGGTATTGAAGGATGGGTCAAATACATTCCCGGCGAGTTGTTTTGCTAAATTATTAAGCAAATGTGAAATATCCAAGGTAAACATAAGGGTTTGCAGATCCCTCCCTTATTCTAACAGCCTTTAATTAGGTGAAAACCACAAGATTCCTCTAATATGGCCATACCCATAATTATCACAGTGGAGTTTGGTTAAATTATAAATTGCTGTTATGTCCTGGCAGCTCTTGTATTTTATGTTTAATAAGTACGTATCCAGAGCCAGCACCACCGCACCCATTGCAAAAGTTCACACTAACCACAAAGGCGCAGAGCTGTCCGAACTAATAAATTATTTTGTTAATTACACATTTTCTTCTATTTCCCACATTGCCAAAGCTGCTGGGAAGTTTTGGAGACATGTTATGATAATGACTTGACATTTTGCCATAACTTTGCCATAACCTTCATGCTAAATTAAACCCACTTTTATGTCAGGAAAATTGGAGAACCATTTTGCTCACAAACAAATGAGTGTGCACAGCAGGGGAAGGGGTTATCAGAGGGAATTCTGGGAAGGCAGAGGGCCCATACCTGGGTTTAATTTGTGCTGTCCGACAGGATTAGAGCACAGTTCATATAGTGCGCTGTAATCATGTGCAGTGGGGAGGCGCTGGTTTGACTCAGATGCCCCAGGACAATCCAAAGCCAAGAGTATTTTCAGATTTGTAGTTGTCTGTAATAGTAATAATCTTGCACTAATAACGTGACTTTATTGCATTATTTTGTTTGGTCGTTTGATGAGAGACTGCTCAAATTTTGAGAAGACAAGACTATAGCTGAGAATATATCTCAGAGATATATTTGTTTTGCTATATTTCTATATTTTAATTGGACTTGTGCATAAATATTTATATAATTATGCCTTATTTGACACCACTCTCTTGTTACTTTTGATACTTATATTGACTTTATTATTACCATTTATATTTTTCCTCTTTGTTATTATGATATGTGAGCTACTGTGTCCAAATAATTTCCCTTTGGATCATTAAAGTTTGCCCAATTCTAAGTCTAAGGACAAGAATTAGGCATAGGATGATACTGAAATTCGGTATCATGATATCATGGCCAAAATAATTGCAATTAAACCATTATATCACAATATTAAAGGTGCTGACAGTTTAAAAATGTTATGGATATGAATTATAATTTTAATATTATGAATACGTTCCATATTTAAAGGTGCATCGTGTAACTTTTCTGGTGGAGGGTCCGTCAAATGCTATTCTCCATGGAGATGTTGCTTTGTCTGGGATGTCCTGGTATGGCACTAAACATGTCCATCTCACATTTACTCAATAACATGGATTTATATTGACCTAAAACCCGCATTGTTACTGTGAGTGGGCTCGCCTCCCCACATATCTGACTTGTAACTTGGCCCTGCTGTCCCCGTAGAGATAAATAAGTGTAATGCCATACTGTACAAGATTCCAGACAACATTTCCACGGAGAGAAGCTGGAGACAGGTGCTCTAGAAGAAAAGTTACACAGTGCATCTTTAAATAACTGTTATAGTATTGTACTTGGATATAAATGAAAACAACAATGATCTAGAAACAACATCATGGATAAGGAGCTTTTTTCTTTACATTCTGGTGATAACAATCTTTGTTGGCAATTATCATGATTATATAAAATGTTCCACAAACACATTAAACAATATTATTGTTATCCCATCCCTATACAAGATCCAGTCAGTCCAATTTCTTCTCAGGATACCAAGTTAAGTTCTATACTGAGTTACTATACTATAGTTAAACAACCTAATAAACATGCACAATAGATGAATCCACCAGTTAGACACTCCTATCCTGACAAAGAATCAATTTGTCCCCAATTCTCTTTTCTTTGGATTCCTGAGAATAAAGGGTTTACGTTAACTATCTATGAAATATCTTCAGACAATCAGAAAAGTGAGTTACGATAACGTTTAAATCACTTGGTCTACAGTTGAAACCAAAAGCACTCAACTAGACACTGCTCCTGACCAACATCGTGGCTCAGATTTGTAGCCTTGGAAATGCTTCTTGAAAGCATTGGAAGATGGATCAAATGCAGGATAAAACTAGAATTGTATTTGAAAAAAAAATGTGAAAAAAAAATATATATATATTGAAAAAATATTGAGTACATCTTTAAATAAACTGCTGCAAAAAGAGGATACAATGTGATCCTTCTACAATTTGTGTTAAATTTATGTGTCCTATGTTTTGGTTTGACACTCAACCAAAACATTTAGAGGCACGTTGTAGCACATTCCTGATCGATGATGGTATAAAAATAGTGTGATTATCACTATCAGGAGGATAAGACAAAATCTCATATTTTTCTTCAATATCACCCACCCCTATTTGACACTACATTACACTCTTAACTGTGCAGAGAGAGCTGTGCCTATCATTGTTTACCATCACTGCTATACACAGGTCAAACCGGGGCACATAACATTACACATAGGGGCAGGCCATATGCCAGAAATATGTATCATGATTCTCTTAAAGCCAGATCATGTTTTCGATTTTATCACAACTCAAGCAGACTTGGTTTGTTTATATCCTTTAGAGCTAATGAAAGGCAAAGCTCTCGATTTACCGGTCAGTCTAAGTTCCTACCCTCACCTATGGTCATGAGCTTTGAGTAATAACTGAAAAGACAAGATTGCGGATACAAGCGGACGAAATGAAGTTTCCTCCGCAGGGTGGCTGAGTGCTCCCTTAGAGATAGGGTGAGGAGCTAAGTCACTTGGAAGGAGCATGGAGTAGAGTCGCTGTTCCTCCACGTCGAGAGGAGCCAGCTGAGGTGGCTCAGGCATCTGTTCTGGATGCCTCCTGGACGCCTCCCAGGAGAGGTGGGAAGTGCTGGAGGGCACGTCCCACTGGGAAGAGGCCCCGGGGAAGACTTAGGACACGCTGGAAGGACTATGTCTCTCGGCTGGCCTGGGAACGCCTCGGGAGGAAGTGTGTGTGGCGAGGGAAGTCTGGGAAGCCCTGCTCAGACTGCTGCCCCCGCGACCCAGCCCTGGATAAGCGGAAGAAGATGGATGGATGGATGCTCCAGTTGGGCACCACAGTTGTCTAACGTGGAAGTCAGTCAGTGTTTTTTTTTTTATTAAGTTGTTCTAGATTAATATTGAATTTACAATTTACAAATTATAACATAATGATCCATGGGTGTCGTTGATTATAACTGTACAGCAGGCTCAAACACATGAAGATAACCAGTAGGAGGACTGGGTGGGAAAAGTGTCTCGTTTTTGAGCCAAGAACTGCATTAAGTAGAGAATGACTGTATCACAATATGACTGTCATAGACGAAAATGTTTGGTTTAGTCACCGTATCACCTGGCCGTAATTATATATGCCTAATATGCTGAAAGTTTGCCCCAGCTCAAGATGAACAGGAGTTCACGTGTGGTGTTTTCATGTATTAAGAACAGCGTGCTTTGGCCTTATGTTGTCAGGAGAGAGAGGTCGACCCACATAGAGAAGCTAAAGAAGGAGCCACATCAAAGACCTAAACTGTACCAGGAGGGTCTAGGGGCCCCTATGATGATTGCACACAACTCATCAAACTGACAGCAAGACCAGGGAGGGGTCTGCAGTAACATGAGCAGACACAAATACGAGTAGACATGATTATTCAGAACAATTTCAGTCTTTTCAATTAGGCTTCATTAGGAAATAACTGACAAACATTTGCAGCAATTGTTCAATTAGCGACCCCGGACTATGGAAGCTTAGCAGGGATGTGCCGTCAATAAAGATATCCTCAAAAGTTATATATAACTGTCTGTGACTTTTGTCTTTTCTCTGTGCAGCTAACTGAAGTTTGTTGTGGTTACATCTAATAAAGACAGGAGTGATACATCGCTCATTTGGCCACTTGAAGTCTTACCAACATTCACACTTAGGCAAGGTAGGTGAAGTGTCTTGCCCAAGGACAGGATCAAGTTAGAGCTGCAATCACACTGCCAACTTTTCTGTTAAAGAGAACCACTCTGGAAATCGTCGCTCTGGTGGGTGTAGTCAGTATCGTTGCAACAGTTTTAAGCACCCTCACACTGGAAAAGAAATAATGATCAGAGGAACTATGTCCTGCAACACCAAGTCTGTGATT